ACTTATTTATAAAGTTTTATATAATTTAATTAATTAATTATTGAATTATAAGTAAATATATGATTCTGGTTTTTTTTATACACTACTGTATATAATTAATTAAATAAAATAAGTATAATAATTTAACAATTATATTTCATTAATCAAATGTTACTATTATTTAAAATAGTACAAATATATAATCAAAGTCTTTAAATATAAAATTTCAAAAAATATTCTTCAAAAAATACTTTAAATATTATTTATTAACAATAAAATAATAAAATTAATTGAATCTTTATCTGCAAGTAATTAACTAAAATTAATTAAAAAGGATTTTTATTTACTAGTATAAACTTTTTTTTTTTTTTTACTTAAAAACAAAAAATTTTTTTTTATCCTTAAAATCACAAAGGTTATATTAGAGAAACAATCTTTAATAGTCTGGTGTTAATAAATTTTTTATTTCCTATAATCACATTTAGAGTTCTTTGGCTATTGACAAGTATGCTGCATAGTATTAACAAGTTTAACTATAATATATTAAAAATACACTTTATTAATATAAAGATAAAATTCAATTTTATATAAAAATAATTAAAAAAATGTTGAATTTTATTGTTTCCACTATTTATATTTACTTTAAAGTATTATAAACTTTCTATATCAAATCAGATGCAAGTTCCTAACAACTTCATTGACTTTATATGCGCAGTTTCTTACTAGCGACATCAAATTAGCTATGATAAAGATAAGTCATTATCATTTCAACAAAAAGTTGTAATTTAATAGTAACTATGACAAAAGAAAAAACTTAAGGTGAAAATATAATTTTGACAATAAAAAACAGTTCTTCGTTAGAAGCAAGTAGATTAATAATTCAAGCATGATTACTTGGACAATCCTTCAGCCTCTAACAAATTATAAGATAAAATTTCTTTAACAAATTCTAGTTTGTAACGTTTGAACGATGAAATAACTATTTAACTGATATTACCTAAGGTCAATAGAATGCAATTTAATTCCGTGGGCTTCTACTTCTGCGATCCGTTCCTTTATCATCTTCATACTTCCTTTTCCGTTCGAAGTCATCATAACTGCCACGGCGGTCGTGATCTCTATCCTTGCGTTCGCGACTTGAAGTTCTATGTCTCCTGTGGCGTTCACGGCTGCGGCTACGGCTACGACGGTGGTCACGATCACTTTCTCTCTCTCTATGCCTTTCACGTTCCCTACGATCATATTCATGATCACGATGCCTATGTGATCTAGAAGACCCCCGGTCAACACTACGACTGCGGGTGCGACTACGCCGATAATCTCGTTCTTCATCTTCACGCCTCGATGAATGTTCGTTAGACAGTCTGGGTTCTAGATCGTATGATGGAGATTCTCGCCTAATAATATATTAATATAATATAAATATAATTTATATTTAATATTGAAGGTTGTGTAGGCTTAATTATTTTAAAAACTTCGATCTCTTATTGGTTTTCTACCTCATTCCTCAGGAAAATCAACAATATTTACATCCAGCCGCTTTTAAAGTAATAAACCGTGGTCTGATCACAGAAAAATAACAAAAATAAATGAACATAAAACAAATGAGATTATTTATGCCTACCTTGGTAAAGAATGCGATCTAGACCTTTCTTTTAATTTTTGATCAATGTCACGGGCAATTGGAACTGGGATACGAGGTAAAATGGTACCAAGCCATTTTTGTTCAGTCAATAACTGACGACACATTTTACCAATTGTTCTGAAATGACAGTTAATTAGTAATAAAACCTTAGGATAAAATAAAGACAGGAAGGCGTGATACAACCATGAACAAACTCACGATTAATAGAAGAGTGCTGCGAATATACTCCATAGAAAATACATACATACATTACGACCGGCCGGGGGCCACCTTGGATTTGAATCTTTTCTTCATCATCTAGATATTCTTCAAACCATTCCCACAAGTTTGCTGGCTTACAAACATAACGAAGGTACAAGAATCCCAACGCCCGAATATGTCTATCAAAATTTAACCAAGAATTCATAAAAAGTCAAATTAAAACAAACGCATTTTTTTTCGTGCTATCTTACGGTGAGTCAGTATGTTCGATCAGGCCGGTGACTTGCTTTACTGTTAACCGAAGAGTCCAAAGCTTATATAATAAGCAAAAGGCTGTGGAAGCAGTTGTACCTTTTAGGAAAGGTTCTAAGAAAGAAAAGGTCATCAAACACCTCAAGAAAAAATTAAAATTCAAAAAAATTTATTGATGTTGTTTACCTACCAAGAGACTCGACTTAAAAAAAAAAAAGAATACAAATTAATTTTTTTATATAAGTAAAAAAACTATGCTTGAAGATTTACCATGGTTATATATTTCATCGATAACCTCATGATAATTCTTCAACTCGCTGTTTTTGGAAGTCTTTAGTTGGAAATGTTATAATAAGGACATAAACACAAATTAGACAACATACTCACTAAAGTTGCTTGAAGTAAGGTGAGGCCTGAATATTCTGGTAAAGAATGTTGGTTAGGTTCATTGTAGTTTCGTTTCCCCACGTTTCCAACTTATTTGATTGTTTCATTTTTCACAAGAAAAAATAACGTAAAAGAAACACAATTGGTAGTTGTAAGCCACATACGTAAATGACTATATAGAAGGGCTGAATATAATTGGCCATTACCAGCCGTTGACTATTTTTTTTTCAAAGGAAAACTAATATTACATATAATATTAATAATTTAATTTTTTTATTTTAATATATACTGTAAATATTTTTCAATTTAAATACAATATATAAAATTTAAAAAATATCAGTTTATTATTTATATTAAAATACAAAAAGTAAACACAATATTTTAAAAAAAAATTTTTGTAATAAATTATTTTATTTTACTTTTAATTAGACTATTGTTATATATTATTTCTATTTCAAAAAAAAACAAAGACAAAAAACTAGTAGTAGAAAGATTTTATTTAAAAAGATCAATATAATATGCTAAAGTTTTTAAGGATGTACAAATTAATACAGTTCTAAGATTTATAAGGTCAAGCAAAAGAAACAATAATAATTTATTTTATAAAAATAAAAATATTTATTCAATAAAATAAAAATTCAATCTTGTTAATTTTTTTAAAAAATTGAAGACTTTATATATATATTAGGAAATTTTTTAACAAAGATCTCCAAAGATCTTTGGGTGAAGACCTCCGGAGGACCTCCATCATCGTTAAAAGACTCCGGAGTGAAGGTTACTATATTAAACTCCAGAGATTTTCGATTTATTTTAATAATAATAAAATATATTTATATTCACGTATTATAATCTATTAATATCAAGTTTTTATCAAACTCTTCCTACTGATCTCTTGATCAACATTCCAAAACAGCATTCAAACTAAAGCATGTCTTTATTCTTAACAAAACCTATATATTCTCTTTAATACAACTTGACAGATCTTGGCAAGACACTTCCACACTCTCCACTATTTTATTTATCTCTTCAACAAAGTATAAACAAGAAGGTTCCTTAGTTTTTACTCACCCAAACTCTGATGGCAAGAAAGAGTTCCCTAGGGAAGAAGACAATTTATTTGGCTTCCCTCCTTCTTTTCACTGCCATAATATCAGTATCTCTATTAGGAAGGACAACCCCAAAAGTTGAAAGGTTGTTGGATATTTTGGTCTCTAGAAACCTTTACAACATGAATACAGCTACCTTTCTAGCATGTCTTCAAAATTCTTCAGTTTTTCTGGGGAAATTTGCTTACCCCAGTTTGACCCTGAATTTTTGGTTACATCAGATCTGCTAGGTTTTCATTGACTGAAAATCTGGATTGAATAACAATAAACAAGTAACAGATAAACAAAACAAGAACATGTCCCTACTTGTACTACACAATTCCAATGATGTCATCATTTCAGACAGGAAGAACAAGGTGATGAGGTGTCCATTTTGACATAGTTGGATTTGTATGCATACCCCTCTATCTCCCCCTTCTCTCTTCTCTTTCCTTTATTCTTTCCCTACATTTATAAATACAAACAAGATAGATAGAATGTTTTTCCCCTATAGGGTTTTTTGGTTCTAATCCATGATTTGTGGAGGACCACAAACTGTAAACCGCTTAGCAAGACCTTCAACATGACTCCTCCTGCCATAAGGGCTGTTAAGCCTATTAGCGATATCCACCATTATTACCTCTAGTGAAGATACTCAGTTGGTAACATTTGTCAGAATGAAAGACTCCCCTCAAGACATAGCCTAACTTTGAAAGAGTTGCACCTTTTTAAATAAGCAGCCTATGCTTGAAGTTAGGCACTATCTAAAGAATTGGATCATCAATCCCGCCATAAATTTTAAGGTATTGGCTAAACCTAGGTTCCATCAGCTTTTCAAATTGTAATCCTCCAGGTAGCCACCTAGATGAGAAAATATTTCAAGATGCTGGCAAGGACAACAGTATTAGGTTTCCATCCAAGTATGAAAGGATTGTATTTAGATCACGATAGAACTCTATTTTCTTGGGTGCAAGAAATAAGTGACTGAAATCGTGCCATCTAGCTAATACAATCACTTTAGAAAGGTAGTGACAATTGAACCTGGGGCCTTGGACAATTGGAATAGGATCAATAAAGCTAGTCACTGAAACCATTCCCCTCTGCTGTAGTCGTTAAAATTGCTGAAGAAGAAGTTTCCCCTCTTCATTTTGAAAAGAATAGAGACATAGTACTCCGATAGGTAATCCGTTAGATGTTGAGAAATCTTAATGAAAAAGTTTACAAAATTTGAGGTCAGAAGGTATAGAAAAGTTGGTTTGTTTTATAAATTTTTTTAGGAATCAGTAATGCTTGATAGATCGATCAAGAAATACTGTTGCTTTTGCTAATAATAAGTCTTACGATAGAACATAGTTTTTAGTGATATTCAAATTTATGCCACAAGTTTAAGTTAGTTACCTCTAGATGCATCGAGTATCGACAAGAAAATTAATGTATATTTTAATATAATTTGAATAAAGGTGTAAACCATCTGTTAAAAAAAAAAAAAAAAAAAAATTATAATCTATTAATATTCAATTTTTAATGTTTATTGGCTTTTAAAATTATTTATTATTATATAATGCTTGTTTATATTTATTTATTTGGTTAAATCTTCACTTATTGCCAAAGTCCTTCTTTCTAATTCTCTATTTTCCAATAATTATCCCAGATCATTTTCAATATTTTCGTATTTCTTCGGATTATCACTTATAGTAATAATTTGTTACTCAGTCATTTCTTTATCTTTGCTACTTGAAGTTTTTTCTTCAAATCCAAGTCCTTTTTTAATTCTCTCCTAAAATATTATTAGTAATAATTTATAAAACTTCGAAGATTTTTAAAAACTTACCTTATTTTTTTCTACTTTATTTTTAATTAACATTTTATTTATCGAAATACTTTCATTATTCGGATCAAGAATTGTTTGACATACTACAATGGCGAATGCCACTTGTTCCTTGGAAGCATCTCCCTTTGGCCAGACTTTTTTGAAAATACAGGCCATTATGCTTTGTGTCTTCCCTCTTGGGCATTTGTAAAGATTTTTAAAACATTTGGCAGTCTTCTAAGATTGTTTCTAGGCCAAAATGTTGATGGCGGATATGTTTGTATTTATTGTATTCAAAAACTCTTTGCCAAAAACCAAAAACATGGCATCACAAATTTTTAAAGCCATAGTCCCCTGAAGCGATTGATGTTTTTTCACAAGCTTTTAAAACAATAAGATATTTACTAACTACTGAATCAAAGTTATTAATATTTATAAGAATTATCACTTGATGAATATGTTTTTCATAATATATTTTCCAGCATTTTCTTGGGAGACATTCATAAAACTCTAAATATTCTTGCTAAAAAAATTTCTTGGTTGTTTGGCGAAAATCTTTAGGGTTCAGGTATATTTTTTCAAAAAATACTTGTTTCATGATACTCTTAATCGTGCACTATTTAAATAAAATATAAGTTTTCTAAAATCTTTGAAAAAATTCAAAATAAATCTTATCTCGATAAAATCATGTTCAGTGATTAAATATTGACTTGCGTGAATTTCATTTTCCAGGCGAGTAATTTTATTCTCTATAATTTTTTGCTGTTCTAATAATTGATCGATTTTTTTATGAAGACCTTTGTGAAACTTCATAATTCTTTCAATGGCTTTATTAGGGACTAAATATATAAGTTAGTAGTATTTATTTTAAATTATAACAAATTTTT